CAAGGAAACAATGAGCTCCTTTACCGCATTGAATTAAATTTCTTAAAGGTGAAGAACACTCCAGAAAATGTATCATCATTTTATTGGATCAAAGTCAGTAACTGAGCAACTGTACACGTACCCCTCCCTTCACCTAACAACAGTCAACTGATAACAAGTTAGGGTTAATGTTGGGTTGGGGGGGGAGGGGTAGGTTCGCAGTAGCTCAGATACTGACATTGATCCATTTTATCTATGTACACGTAGGTGTAAAATTATGACATTGCCTGTGTTTTGTACCTGATAAGAAAACAAAAGTTTCTTTATGTATTCATTTTTTTTGGAAAGCCACATGGTTTCATTAACCCTTTACACCCTAACATCAGTATGTGGACTTTCCATATTGTGATGACAAGGAGAATTTGTTCAATAATCAAGAGCTTCTTTAGTTGGGGATCATTTCCTTGATTCTTGTCACCTAAATGTGTGATTCGGGATGATTTTGTAAAGAGAAATTAGGTGCTAATCACACTTGGGGGTTAAAAGGGTCATAATAATAACACTGCTGTCAACAAACCTTAAACTGATCTCCTAGTAATTTGTGAACAATTTGTTGCCCTCTATTCACCACAGAGTGGCAAAAAGATTCAAATACATCCTGCATCTTCTTGGGATCTGGTGCCTGAAGCAAAAATAAATAGTAAGCAAAGAAAGTACAAGACAAAACAAACAGAAAAAGAAAAATTTTTTTTTTGAGAATTGGAGGCACTGGAGGCACTGTATATTCATGTATTTAAATTGAAAAATGCAAAACACTTTATCATGCTTTTGTTTAACCCTTTCACCCCTGGGGGGGACCAGCATCTAATTTCTCCTTACAATATCACCCCTAAATTAACCACTAAGGTCATGAAAATAAAAGAAATGATTGCCACCTAAAGCAGGGATTCTTTGTATGCTATATTTGCCATATTTAGACAGGCTGACCTGGTTCTGCTTGAAGCTGGTTTAAATGGGGGCCTGTATAAACAACAACCAGGCCAGACCCTAACACTGGGAGCTGCCTTCCCCACTCTTTGTGAGAAGTGCATGGATGCATGGGTTCTTTTAACCCCGTTAACTTCCAGAAGTGATTGTAATTTCTCCTTATAACATCCATACATTATCCAGCCACCATGTAATGAGAATATTCAAGCTTATCAGGAAGTTATCTTGATCTAACACCAAATTCTCATAACTTATTTTGGAGGAATTGTGTGCCAGTTAGAGAGGAAAATTAACAATCAGATCTTGGGAGTTAAAGGGTTCACCTGAACAGAGAAGATGGGGGAGACAAGGCCAAGGGTAATTATTCTCCTTATCCTGAAAGATGTCTATTCATTTGTGGATGTCATAGCAAAGGGAACACATTTTTTTTATTCAAGACCGGCTGGGTGTTGGTCCAGTTTGGGGCTTGAAGGGTTGACCTCCTGTATAGCAGTGCGATGCTCTACAATGGGAGCTAACCAAGTGTGGTCAAAAGACCTTAGGAAATGTATAAAGAACAGTATGAGAAAATACAAACTGATGATAGGGTGTTAGGGGTTATAAGATTTTATGCTAGATGAAGTTGTGGTGATAAGAGTTATCTGTTTCATTTCATAGCAATACTTACTTGCAATACTGTTGCAATCATTTGTGCAATAAGCATCACACTTGCAGTTTCTGGGGGATAGTGCATTTTTCTAATGGAAAATCACACTCAAGTTAAACAGTTACTAAAACTGAAAATCATAGAATGAATGCAATTTAAGTGAAAGATAAATTGATTTGAAAGTTTTGTGAGGAATAGATATAAAAAAATTGAAAAAAAAAATGATGAAAAACCTCCAGGATTCTTGTAGCTGTTCTAGAGGATGGCTGGGATCTCCTTCATTTTGTCCCAAACAAAGAGTCCTGTGGTAGTGATCCCATGCACGCTGTCTACACTCTTCACTGCAATATTTAACCTGTAAAGAAAATTTAAGGGATATGCAGGAGTGCTTCCATTTGGTCCAGCTCGCTTCAATTTAAATAAATCGAAACGCACCTCGAACACTCTTAAACTTAAATAAAGATCTGAAGCTGCGAGTGTCCGATTACCATTTGCCTTAGAATGCAGTTTGTGTTAAATTAGGTTTCATACCTTTCCTTAGTCTACCTCAACCAAAGTTTACAAAGCAATACGCACGCAAACATGAGTAATACCTGACAGTTATGGCAGCTAATAATTTTAAGTCCCATACGTGTAATTTCACAGCACTTGGATGCATAAGGAAGTTCCAAGCTGTCATTTCCCGATAACCTACGCGCCATCTGCTCAGCTGTTTCCAAAGACCTCAAACAATGAGAACAAGCTGTGTACTTGTAGAGAGAATTCCACAAAAACTGGCCACAAATCAACGGCTTTTCTTCAAAAATGAGCTCTCCTTCTCTGAAATCCTTCTTGGCAAAGAGACCTTTTCCTTTTTGTAGACTCACATCCTTTACAAGGACGTTCGAGAAGTGAGAAAGGTAAGAAAGTAGTGTTGTTTCTTCGAAGGTCGGCGCGGCAGCCATGATGCTTTTCTGGGCGAGTCCGCGATTATAAAATTATCAGCGGCCTATTGGCGGGAAACCCTCTAGCGGCTGGCTGGTTAAAAGGTGGGAGACTTTTTAATCAATGAATTCTCTTTTCCTCTCGATAGATTTCGATACTGAAAACGTTTATGAAATTCCTAATCTTTCAAGTTTAGGAAATTTTCCTTGAGTTAAGAGACAACGACATCACTCTATAAAACTTAAGACGTTTTTTTCACATTTTCGAGGTAGGAACAATAGATTGAAAACCAACACTCGATAAGGGAAAAAACAAATAATTGTTCCGCTGATTTTTTTAAGCTTGATTTTGGAATTTCAGACCGTTTACAGTTTTCATTAGACCGTTAAAAATACAGCTGCAAGAGAGGGATGTATTCTTCCCTTCTCTATGAACAAAAAAACTCAAGGCATCGAAGTATACGTAGCTAGTGTTAATTCTGCCCTGAGAGCGGAGAATTGTAATATCTCCGAGACTAACGCCTGTGTCAATGAATGAAGCTTCCATTGCTTTTAAACCATTCAGGAGTAACTACAAGGTAGAGATATAAACGTGGAGGATACGCCATTATTCACACAGTACGTACTTTATTTTTTTCCTAAATCCAGAAATAACGAAACGATACGATTTATCCAGCGCATCAACCATCATTTCTTTCTAGAAATTATGATCGTCAAACTTTAAAAGCTCTTCTACATTAACTGTTTTCTGACAATAGAAACCCTAGCTGCACATAAAATACTCAGAGTTAGACTTCTTGAAACATAAATTAAGAAAGGTTATCACAATTCACAATTATATTATGGAAAGGAAAGAAACATGAAAAAAAAAACTGATCCGAAAAGTTGTTATAGACTAAAAAAAAATCCACCTTTGCATTTGTGATCCTGACCACATCCAAAGAAATGGGGAATTCAGAAGTTCTTAATATTGTACATTTATTGAGCATTTACCCATTCTTTTTTTCAGCTTGCAGAAGTTAAATGTTCAAGATGAAAAGTTTCATAGTACAGTGAAGAAGGCTGGAGATACTATGAATCAAAAACAGTTTGGTCCTCTTGATATTGCTTTAACCAAGAGAAGAGCACGTGTTCATAAAGAATCTATCAAGAAAAGGAAAAGAACTAGAAGAAGTATTGCTGGTAAGATTGTATTACTACAGAGTGTTAAAGGAAAATTGTTACTCTAGTTTGAGCTTAGAAAGATTGTACCAAGAGTTTTTGCTGCCAATTTTCAGCTGGTTTTTCCCTACAACTAGGCAGTTTGGGAAGCTGCAAAACTCTAAAGGAAAATTTTCTCTTTCAAATTGGCACTTTTAATCCCTATGGTATCAACAAATGCTTTTCATTCAACTAACTTATTTTTGTTTTTCTCATTACAATTATCCCACCAATAGTGTAGCTCCATTTTCTTTATATAAACCCACTCAAAAACCCACAATTCCTCAATTTGCTCTGATGAAGTGCTAATGCTTGAAACATCAGCTTTGAAACTTTTACAGCTGCCAATTTATGTTATCGCCTCAGTTGATAATACCAAATTTCTTTTAATTCTACCACCATAGGCCTAGGGAAAAATTAAAGTTTGGTATCTTGGTACTGTTTTCCTCATTTCATTTTCTATCAATTCATTAATGAATGCAAAAACTCACAAAACCAAGTGTCGTGTTAACAAGACTATTGAAATAGCTATAATAGGTCTCAAACCTGCTTGCAGAATTTCCACTTGCATTAGAGTGCTTTATTTCATTTATTTATTTATTTATTTGTGATAGAGGTAGTTGATTGTCATATTTCTAAATTTTATAGATAGAATGACCTTCCCAGAAAACCTTGGTGACAGCTTTCATCAGGGAATGCTTAGCAACATAGAAGATTGCCTTGAAAACATCAATACAGATAAAGAATTTCCAGCACCAAAGACATTTAAAGCAATTAGAAAATCAGAAATAACACTAAGTGATGCAAAGAAGTTTGAAATTTCTAAAACACCTGCTTTACACATAAATAACTTTTCTGAAGCAAACCAGCTTGGCAAACCATTAATTCCTAGGACTCCACACTTCCCATTAACAGTACATTGGATGGGAGAACAGAAAGCCTGTTCAACTATACCGGAGACACCTCTCTTTGCACATACATCTCATGAGGTGGCAGAGTATTGTGACAGACCCTCAACACTCCTACATGTCCCAGAAACACCAGTAGTGTTATTGAGGAAGAAAGAGAAATATCAGACTAGATGTGTCGTGAAATGGGGAAAACAGCCTGTGCAAGTAGTTCCTGAAACCCCAGCTCTAAAATTGAAATTACCCTATGAGTTGTCACTTTATGACTAACTTGAAAACTCAGTCAGCTAACAGACAGCATGCAAAAGCAGGATACCAAACCTTAGAGCCAGAACAAGCCAAAGCAAAAAATAAAAATTATGTTTGGTCTTTGTAAGTTTAATCTACATTGAACACAAATTGTGGTACATTAATTTAAGAGCTCAGAACTAATCATGATAATTCATGAAAAATTGGTACATAAATTTATATCAGTGTTGTTACTATATACACATGCAAAAATATTAAAAATAACTCTATCTTATTAAGTAACATTAATAGTATTCTTTTAAACCTGAAACACACAAACAAGACATTAATTGAATGTATGAATAATGATAAACACAGCCAGATCTGAGGCTTTTAGAGAAATCTATCACTTGCTGATTAAGAATGGTTATTTTCTCTAACAATTCTTACTTAGGGATGAATTTTTACATGTTTAGCCTTTCCAAAACATGAAAGTAAAATGAAAATGTTTACCTCACAATGTTCATAAACCCACGATATACATTGATTCTATACACTATAATATGCCAATATTGTTTTTGACATATATTTCATCACAAACAATTCCAAACAAGTGAAAGAATATTATTTACATATATGTACAGTTCAATTATTGTATCATGATCATATCTCTATTTCAAGTTTGATTGCTGAGGCTTACATTGCAGGGAGATTTGAATGAGACCTATAGGGTTAAACCAAGAGATTCATCCAGGTAGAGGGATCTATGAATTATTTATCTCATTGGTAGGGAAAGCATGTCACCTGCCAGGTTCAGTCCTTACTACATTCTTGATTCCACTCTTTGTGAACACTAGAAATTTGTCTGGAATGTGATTTTTTTTTATAAAAACAAGATAATACCACCTGAGAAATCTGGACAAAGGAGCACAAGTAATTTGTGGTTTGGTTTGCTAATATGCCCTGATCTCCTTTTGATAAGTCTTACTGAACACAGTTTAAAATAATGTTTCCTTCATATTTCAGATGCTCATGTTTGATAGCAATGTGAGAATATGTTTCAATTTATATGTATTATGAAAACCTATACAACAAGTATTCATAACTTGTCAACTCAGCATCTGAGCCAGCTTGAAGATTTGTGTGAAAAAATGGCCCGTGCAATCACATTTTTGTGAACACATATTTTTTCCCTCAGCTGAGAAAAGAAATTTAGGAGAATAATTATTATGAGTTCTCTGATGTCTGCACTTCTGTGTCAGGGGGGATAAGGGGCCTGGAACTCTCATCATCCACCCTACTTTCCAAAAATATTTCACCATTTTCAATGTTGTCAGCATCATCTTCCAAATCCTCATTTGCAAGTGGGTCCACATAAGGGGGAGGGGCACCTTCCCCATCAGATGGAGGTCCCAGACTACCCATGGCTTCTACTTCAGCGTAAGATGGCAGTTTGTAGTTGGGATCAGAAAAAAATTCGTCATAGGGAGTCAGTGGTTGATTTTCTGTTCTGGCTGGAGCCAATGGGTAAACAAAATTCCTGATGTGTCCATGCCATCCGTAATAACGTCTGCGGTGATATGCACAGCAGCACCCCAATAAACTTATAACAGCCCAAACCAACCAGAACCCTGCAAGTCAGCAAGTAATATTGTTCTCAATTCCAGACATTTCAGCATTTTCAGAGTAAATTTAGGGATGGTTATTTGTCTCTATTGCTACATAACTGATAATTGGTCAGAGCCAAGGAAAAAGGGTGAACTCGAAAAACAGAAGCTCTAGAAAACCAGCTCTAGGCCAATTTTCATTACCAATTCAGTTCATAAAACCAGATTTTCTTGCCACAAAAACACTCACCAACCCACGGACCCACAAAACAGAAAAGAAGAACAACAACAGAAATCAAAACAAGAACAAAATTAAAAGGGGATCACTTACACCACGTCTTGTAGTACTTGAAGTAGGTACAGCAGTCATAATCTCCACAGCATTGGCCTACATTGATATTTTTTAGAAACGTAAACAAAGAAAAAAAATCCAATGAAAATATTAGAAAAGCCGACTAGTCAAACGGGCCTCTTCAATGTACTGCTGGAGTTAAATGTAGGAAGTAACAATTGTGACCTCGATTTGAGTGTAAACTTTGAATATTACGGCTGAATCATTGAGATGAAAGTTTGTTTTGGGTAAATTTTAATTATGTTACGAGGACATAAGATGTATGAATATTTAGTTAAGCAAGCGTTCTTGCCGTTTCCGAAGTGTTGTGTAAAGAACTAAGTCACAGAAGACTCCCACCAAAGGTAAGAATTAATGGACTTTACCTTCATCACAGAAGTATTCTTTTCCTTCCACAGATCCGCAATATTCCTTTGCCTAAGGAATGCAGACGGTACGTAGTCACGATTGATGTATTATTAAACAAATGTTGCGAAAAGTTGGACCATTTTGTTCATTTAATTTTATCACATATTCACAATAGTAATCGTTGGATTCTATCTCCAATTGGAAGATTCCAATTAGAATGAATTTTTTCTTTGTACCCTCCCGTTGGCAAGCAGGAAGGAGGTTGAAGTTAATATTTCCATAACACCAAGGTTATAATTGTTAACTTTACATCATTTTCATTTTAAGCATGATTGCATACCCTGAAGTGTTTCCACTATCAAGCCGTCGGTGTATTCAGTGATCTTGAGAGCCCTTTAAAACGGAACTCGTGAAAATCGAACGACCTACCAGTCTGAGTTCTTGTCTGATACCGATTAAAATATAGTTTTGTCTGGGCGCGTTCAGATAACACAAAAACAAATTACATCCGTTTTGAAATAGTGCTTTCCGTAACGATGCAAATTTTAACGTTTTCAAGATTTGCTACCTACCAATGCCACTTCGAACCAAAGATTGGCTGCAGTAAAAAGAAAAAATATTCGGAATGGAAGCGGGTCCATGATGCGATCTCAAGTTTCCTGCACAAATGACATTTAGAACACAAACACATCGAATAACGACCAAAAAGACGCATCGCTTTATTGGTGGACCAATGATAATTAAGCGAGTCACGCAACTTAACGTGGCGTGACTTTAGTTAGCACTCACTTATCAAGTTCTTTACTTCTGTAAATACGATGACAAGACTCATTTGATTTGACATGCACGGAACTTAAATTTTTTATGATATCATTTAATTGTCTATCAATAGTAAGCGCATGAAGTAGCTTGAATTAAACAGGCAATTTTCGTCAAGTATATTCGAAATTAAAACTCAACACATTCGAAAAGATCCTTAATATGATAATTCAGTCGGAAACGAGTTAGCTGAAGCTGTTTCTGTTAGAGTTGAAGGTTTCACTTTTCCGTTCGAGAAAATGTTTGATGAATTTATTTTTTAGCCATGTTGATTCAGCTATCTATGTCAATCAACATTCGCTAAGTAATTTGTTTAGCGTAGACAATGTTTCACCCGCAAATTACGACGCTAAGTAGAGAGAACGAATGTACAGAAAATACACTTTTTTAAAATGTCATCTTGTCTCAAGTAGTATTTTCTGGCTAACATAAGAAATTTATTTCAAACATGTGTTTGGCAGACCTAAGTGAATGAACTACTTTTCACATATGACAGCTAAATAAAGCTGCATTTTAAATAGTAACACTCGCTATATAATATTTAATGAAGTTTATACGATCCAACGATACAGAGTCTAAAGAACAAAGAATCAAGCATAAGTTATGGGGAATAGGGATAAAAAATGGAAACTGAATTTAGAATTGTTCACGAACAAGGAAAATGGATATAATTTGGGGAAGTGGATAATGGAAAATTGTGTAGAATTCAAAGACAATCGAATATGAATGAAAATAACAGGAAAGAAATGGGGATGGCTGGCGAACCACAGTAATATTTCTGTTTACGTTTTCTCCTTACTATTTATTTACTGATGTGGGCTTTACCTTAAGCAATGTTTTCTCGGTCTTCAGGGTTAGTGAGCAAAGATAATGGCCTCGTTCTGGGTTTCCAGCGTCGCTACCGCCCCTCTATGCCATAATATTTATACGAAGAGAATGGTTCCTACAATTCCGTTACGCGCTAGAAGGGCAGAAAATACACATCTTTAAGATTATGTTACAACTTCACATCCCGATAGGATTTGATACGGGCTTCCAAGAATTGCGACGTTATCAAAGTTAGTAAGAAAGCAACGGAAAAGAAAAAAGATCGATCTCCGAATGACGAATAATGTTGGACATCTGCCACGAATCTAGGGCAAACGGGAAAAATAGGCAGTGTATAAGACTGCATATAGCACAATTTTTATAGCATCGACAAGAACTAGAGGTTGTATAATGACGCAACAAGGTAGTGTTCCAGGATACAAAACAGAAAAAACCACAGCATCCCACCTCTTTGTAAGTACCCTGTTCCACAAGAAAAAGATGATTCAAGAACATATTGACTAATATAACTGACCGAAATTGGCTACTGGTGTCAGAAAATCCAAAACTGGCCACAACTGTCCCAAATCCAAAATCGGCCACTAGCGTCTGCAAACAAAATCGCGCACAAGTGTTTAAAAATCGGCAATAAGTGTCCAACATCCAAAATCGCTCACTAGTGTCCAAAATCAAAAATCGGCCATTAAGAGCCAAAATCCAAAACCAGTTACTAGTGTCCGAAAATATGTCACTAATGTCCAAAAATCAAAATTCGGCCACAAGAGTCCAAAATCCATAATCAGCCACTCGTCTCCAGAATCCAAAATTGGCCAATACGGTCTAAAATCCAAAATCAGCTACTAGTGTCCAAAATCCAAGACCGGCCACTAAATTAATGTCCAAAAACAAAATCGGCCACTAGTCTCCAATATAAAAAATCGGCCACTGACGTCCAAGACCCAAAATCGGCCACTACTATCCAAAATCCGAGATAGGCCACTAGGGTCTAAAATCCAAGATCAGCCACTAGGATCCAAAATGAAAAAAAAAGGCCACTAGTGTCCAAAATCCAAGATCAGCCACCAGGGTCCAAAATATAAAATAGACCACTAGTGTCCAAAATCCAAACTTAGCCACGAGTACAAGGTAGAAGGAAAACCCCGAGACAAAACAAGACCTAAACAGAAAAAGGAAGGAAAGAAAAGGGAAGAGAGAAATTATCAAGTAAACGCTAACTCTCATTTTAATCTGCAGTTGACACATATCTTACAATTGTTGAATCAAAAACTGACATAACTGAACTTCCTTACCAATTTTTTGGTAAAAATAATAAATGAACCAAAAAAGTTATCTATTTTGATTTTCCACATGTGATACTCACGTGAATAACCATTTTATTCCAATTTCATTTTACAGAGGTCAGACTTTCAAACAGTTTGCACCGTCGTACAAAACACATTTCACTCTATTTCCCCGACCTTTAAACAGTGTATCGTAAATATGTAAAGTAAAACTCTTTTAATGAACAAATAACCCTTCTATATCATCTCGATACATCATTAAAGATAAGCTAACTACAGAAACTGCAGGTCTCCAACGTAATATCAGAAACCATCAACCCACGAGAAGAGGTTTGCCGAGCGTTTGACACTATTTTATACTCCATACTTCATACTTCCGCGGACTTGCTCGCAGGTTACCCACAGTCTAATCATGATTTAGTACTCGCGTTTACTCGCGCTTCTGGTCTTCTGCACATTTCTACGACTTTGAGTTCGCGTTGGCTTCCTGTCATATTTCTGTCCCTTGTACGATTGGCTGCTGAGACATGTTTAGCTTTGGTTGTATTACACTTAATAGAGCGCGCTATGTTAATTCTTTCAGACTCTGCGTTTAACGGAGGAGCAGAAATCCTTCGTATCCTCAGTTGTCACATGGAAAAATTAGTGATTTCCACGACTACTTTATCAATTGCTGAGAAGGAGCTTCCTCCCTATCTGGGAAGGTTCATCAATACTCCAGTCCTATGACAGCAATGACCGCAAAATTTGGCCCGAACGCCTGGTTTGGCCAAGTTAAATCATTACTGTTTGGTTGTATTTGTATTAGACAATCCGTTATCAGCACTCCTGCACAGTATACTAACTGCTGACAAACGAATATATATAGAGGCCCACATAAATGACATCTTCGTCTCCTTGGTTAGTATCAATCGATTCGCTTAATAACCTGTGACTGTCTGCTAAAACCTGAGAGAGCTGAGAGGCATATAATATTTTAATTAAACTGAACGATGCCACCGTTCTTACAATAACAAGGGTTGTAAATTCATAGTTGATGTTTAGATGCAACACACAAGAAAGATTCTCCTCCTGCTAATAATCCTCGTCACTGTCCTCATAATACTCCATTTCTGGGTCCATGTCCATGGATTGAAAATCAACCCGATACCTAAGAATACCTAGGGAAAAAAAATGAAACAACTGTTACAACTAGATCATGGAGGCCAATAAACAAAAATCGAACACAATAAAATACGTAATGGTTAGTGCACTGGACTCCAAGTTCGAGACCTAGCTGGGTCATTGCGTTGTGTTCTTAGGAAAAACACTTTCACTTCTCCACCGAGAATTATATAATGGATAGCAAGGTAAATTGTCTGGGAAGCCTGATGACATACTGATGGGTAACCATGTTATGGAATGGCATCCCATCCAAGGAAGGGTAGTCGCCTTCATGTTGAGGAAACTGGTAGAAGCTCACACTGGTGAGACACTTGGTTTGAGCACAGCAACACTTAACACATCAGAAAGGAAGCTGTCATACTCTATCTTCAAGCAAATAGACATTAAAGACTCTTGATCTTTGAAGAGGAAGGTAACCCAAAGAATAACCATCAGGGAAAGATGAGAAACACCTAAAAACCTGCTGTTCTAATACATGATTCTTCTAAAGTTGTTGAGAGTATAAACAACAACCCATAGCATCACCTCCAATTCCTCCAAAGCCTTTGCAAAACTGTGCTCCTTCTTGTGATTTGTCTGTTATGATTTCCAATGTTGCACCTTAGGGGATAAAAATAATAATAATAATAAAGATCACGACTCATACAATCTCGGATGGCATTGCAGTCACTTAACAGTTTTGAAAAAGTCTGCAATAACAATACTTATCAGAAATCTTTACTGAATAGTTTTATCATGACACATCAAATATGTACAACGCACTCACTTACCAAAACTCTTATAATTGTTTGCAAGCCACTCCAGCAGAGGCATCTTTTCTATCAGTTCTAACTCAACTCCAGTCTAATAGATAAAAAAACATGACAAGTTATTAGTTAAACCACGCAACATGACTCAATGAAAGTTTACGTTAGACAGTCTTGGACAACATATAATCTTAACTTTCAAAAAGCTTTTCAGGACTTGGTTCTCTAAGTAGAAAACCAGAGTTTTCTCTCATAGCACAGTTGTGCCCATGAAAGTAACACAGTACTCATGTGCTCGTAAACAGAGAAAAAGGTGCACTAAATGTTCCTTAGTGATCCAGGCTTTATCTGTCAATGTTTTTGCTACTTAGGATTAAAAGAACTAACTCATTGTACCTCACTGTCTATGGAGTATGTCTTGTCTTTTTCTTGCTCCGGATTGAGATGAAGGATTTTCTCCTCTGTGGACAAATTTACTCTGCTATTTTATAATATGCATCAACATACTAACCAAATACACATCTACTGTCACTGCAAGTACACAGCCTCAGGCAAAGTACAAAAAATTGAGCTTTCTACTGAGATCCATTGTCAGAAATTCTACCCCAAAGATGATTTTTGCTTTCCACATCGGCAGCTTGCTCAAGACAGGACTTGGCCAATCTTATAAGTTGTGGCTACCAGTACTAGCATCAGAACATTCTAAGAACTTTATGAATCAGCATACAATCTTTCTTACTGTAAACCAGCAGATTAAAGAGTTTTGTGCTTTGCAGGGTGATTTCTCGCTTACCATCTGTTTGATGATTTTTCAAAACAATTCGGTGGATTTCCAGATTTTCCCACACAATGAGGATGTCCACTGCTCCCATTTCGAGTCCC